CGCCTCAACAAACTTCTGAAATTTGGCATTTCTCCTCTTACCCATATGATGAGTGTCTAATTGAACCGTGGGCATCTCCTTCAGGGGTATATGCCCGGATCCGCCATCTCCACAGCAGCCTAGACAACACGTAAACAGCGATGCCATTATTGTTCGACACTCAGCTCAACATCCGGAAACAAAACTTCAGTCTTAAGACAGGAAGCGTTCCGGGTTAAAAATCTGAGCTTCCAAGCGACAGCGACGCTCAGCGGCGGAGGTCGACATTGCATAAGCCCCGGCCTTACACAACTGTATCCAATCACAGCCGCTAAGATCGGCAGTTGCTCCTGATGGCATGGAAACAAGGGAAGAAATCAAGGTCAAAAATTTTCTACACGTGACTCAGAAACTATTGGATATCGAAGTTACATAACCACAAGTGAAAAGAGAGTTAGTTTGCTGGGGAACATGTAGTGCTGGTGTTGCCCAAGTGCTGACACAATTTCATTATGTCCAAAGAGCATCATCATTCAGAGGTTGATAAGAACTGACTTACAGAGGGAAGTCAACAAAGTGCTCTTGTCACTAATCTTCTTAGAGCTTTCTCATTCTGTCCACAGCCTAAACCGAATTTACAAAAATATGTTACATCGAATGAAGAATGTGGAACTTTGCTACAGCCATAAAATCATACATTTAGACAAAACTAAGTCAACAGACAAGGAAGACTAAGTCCAATTAACAACAACAAAGACCACCTGACCACATGACAACAAAGATCAATGGACAACAACAGCTGGGACTGACCCACAACAACAGAGACTGGCAGACAATGACAAAGACAGTTGGATAACCAATAGCAACGACAGACAATTATAAAGATCAACGGCACACATACAAGCATTGAAAAACTGCTAGGTAACAACAAAGGACAACGAACAATAAAAAAATAAACATGTAAGTGTAGAAATCAGTGATAAAGTGTGATGTTACGAAAATGAAATAACCAATGACAGTAATGCAACAGGAAACCACAAAGGAAGAGAAGCCTGCTTACAGACAACATTGCTTGCCTTATACTGCAACATTGCTAGGTTTGGATTTGTTGGACCAGTGGTCCACACACAACGTACCCACTTTTTTAAAGAAAGCTGTAGAATTGATTTAGATAGTTTGAGGAAACCTCTTGCTTAAATTAGGCAAGGTTTGAAATAATCGCACCTACTTTACTTAGATATTTTAAAAATATCCTTTTGTTGAGGACCTATGGTTGTCTGCTTTATTAAATGTAGTAAATGCAATATTTTAACCCTATTCTATTTCATTCGATTCTCACTCAATCTATAGATTAAATCCTGCAGTGTTAATCAACTTTCCTATATGACCTAAAGTGATATTGGAGAGTGTCTTTATCACGTTGGCTGTTTACATAAGCACGTGCTTACATGTCCCCACTCTGGTGACTGAAGTGGGGCAGCAGTACGTGTAAAAAACCCGTGATGCCAAGCTTGGAGGATGAAAAAAAAAATCTCGTTGACAGTTTTCACGCTGTAATGTTTTGCATAGCAACAGCACCTCCCCCATCCCGCAGCCTAGGGAGTATCTGCAAGTTACCCACTTGCCACAAAACCGACAACACCGTCCGGTTATGTTACAAACGAAGCTGTCAAATAAAATCCCGACGTACGTTTATGATCGTGTGAGTGGCGATGCGTCAGCTCTGACATCGGAGGGCACGTTCTGGGCTCAAAGACAGGGTAAATTAAGTTTCTGTGCGAGACCGAAACGGTTAATCTCTCTTCTCCCGGAAAGGGCGAAGTCTGCACAGCAACAAGCGCCATGATTGCGTTGCAGTGTGCGTCTTCCTCAGCAGCTGGTGAGTGATTCTTTTGGTCCAGTAGTTGCATGTTACTATGCGCTTGCAAAACTCTGTCAGAGTCAGCAGCAGAAGCTGACTCTCCTTCGGTGCCTTGCCAACAGGAGAGCGAACCGCGTTCTGCCGTATCAGGGTCGCACAGGGAGATGAGGGTTGATGTTGGATTTAGCAACGCGCAGTTTAAGGAGCACGGTCGTCTGGAGCGTGCATAGACGTGATTTAGCTCGGAAATATTAGATTGGATAAGTTATATTTGAGTTTAAGAGTCTTGTGACGTCAAACAAGGACGTTACCACACAATAGGTTGGCATTTGGAGCCAGTGACAGAGAAGAATGATGCAAGTCTGTCCATCTTTGAAGATGGGAATATACTCCAGACTCACACATCTGGAACCTGGCTGACAACATCTGTATCCTTTGCATGATGCTTTAGCAGATTTGGAAAGTGTCCCTTTTTTTCCTCGCGGAGAGTCTCGGGGTGAGGGTGCGCGGGTCGCGGTATATTGTGTGATTATTGAAATGAGACTCACATGACATGATTTGACGCGTGCATGCATATGAATGTGTTTACAGGACGCCATGGAGCAGCTGGAAGAGGAACTGACGTGCCCCATCTGCTGCTGCCTTTTTGATGACCCGCGCGTTCTGCTGTGCTCACACAGTTTCTGCAAAAAATGCCTGGAGGGACTCTTGGAGGGACACAGAGGTCCGATTTTTAGGACTCCGTTCAAATGCCCCACATGCCGCAAAGAATCGCCACACAACGGCGCCAACAGCCTGCAGATCAACTACTCACTGCGCGACATAGTGGAGAAGTACAGCAAAATAAGGGTCCTACCCAAAATGCCCTCTTGCGCGCAGCACTGCGGCCAGCCTCTGAATATGTTTTGCGCTACAGACTTAAAACTTATCTGCGGGTTCTGCGCAACGACAGATGATCACAAGGGGCACAGATTCTGTTCATTGGAGGATGCGTACGAGCAGGAAAAGGCAGCGTTCGAGGAGCTGCTGCGCGGTGTGGAGAGCTGGCGCAGCGCCGACATGTTGTCCTGCCTGGAGACACTTCAGAGCAGCAGAAAGAAGGCTCTTCAGTCCGTCACCAAAGATGCTGAGAAGGTGACCGAATACTTTGACAAACTCATCGGCGCTCTTGAATCTAAAAAGAACGAGATCCTGTCCGATGTGGAGACGGTGAAGCTGGTGGTGATGCAGGCGTACGACCCGGAGATCAGTAAACTGAGCGCAGCGCTGGAGGAGCAGAGACGCGCTCTGAGCATCGCAGACTCCTTCAGGAGCGTTTCGGACCCGTCGTGTTTCCTGCAGCAGATGCAGGAGTTTCGGGAGAAGTTTCGCGTACTGCAGGAGACCACGTTACCCCCCAAAAAGGAGATGGACGTCGGTCCTCTGGTGCGTAATTTTGACGTGAAAAAGTGGGACTCCCTGAGGTTGAGGGAGGTGGACAAGATCTCCGTGCCACACGAGAACGGCTCCTACAGAGTGGGAGATTCACGCAGGGCATCAGCTCCGAAGTGGATCGTCGTCTTTATGATGAGTCTGCTGCTTTCAACTCTCCTGCTGCTGCTGAGATGGCACAATGACCTGACAGCACACATGAAACCGCATCTAACTACAGCCTCCGTGCACCTCAGCCACACTACCGACTACCTGCAGGGACTGACATCCATGTGCACGGGGTTAATCACTGCAGGTCAGGAGTGTATGTTGAACTTAATGAACGCTGCTGTCACTTTTGTTGGCACTTGTAAGTTATTTTAATGTCCCGCCTGTGGCGTAGCTGTGCGTGCCCTCACAGCTGTACTCATTGTTTTTCCACGTGCCCCTAGAGATGCGCCACACCACGATGATTGACAGATCTGCTGCTACTGAACGTGTGGACCACGGATCTTCTTCTCTTTCTAAAGCCTTTTCTCGACTCTTCATCGCCTGTGGAGCCGGAGAATCAAAAGAAATCCTCGTCGGTTTCTTCTGGACTACTGTTGTGGCATGAGAGATAGAATAAAATCAAAGACATTTTTTTCTCCTGTGGTACAATCCCTTGTTAAGTTTTATACTTTTACCACTACGATCTTCAATAAACACAACTGAAACACTCCAAACACCCCCACGTTCGTTTTTGTGTCCCTTTGATGCGGCTAAAATAGTTAATAAGTAACAAATCAGTGCCTAACTTCATTAGATGATGAATGTAGTGTGTAATCCGTGCGTGGCCTTGTCTCTACACATGGGCATTTGTGTGCCAGAGTCGTAATTCAAGGTTACGAACGTTGCATAACTCTTCGGCAGCCTGCTGACACAATGACAGGAGAAATAATTACGTAACAGACAAGCGCGTTATCAACACAAGCAATTGGCAACGTGATTTCCATGCGCGCGAGAGCATTCACTGACGCTGCATTTCGCATTCCCTGCACGACTTCAGGAGGTAACATCTGCAGGCTCCCAAATTAGAAATGCTGAGTTGGCAGAATTTATCTGATGCGCATCTTCATTCAGAACTTGCCTGAAAGAATTAAATCCAAAGCAACACAATTAGTCAAATAATACGTCTGATTTGTGCGCTGTCAGTGCCACTTATTTCTCCTTTCTCTCTCACCAACAAAGGCCTATATTTAGACACCACTCTGCTCTGCGCCAGTAGTTTTAAGTGCGCAGTAAAAGTCTTGAATAGGCATGAAATAGGACGTAATTGGATTGTGAGACTCGGGATTTTAAGAAAGGACAAATAAATAATTTATGTTTCCTGGTAATATTGTAAATCCATACTTCGTCGTTTCTAGGTGCTTAGGACTTGTGTGTGTGTGTGTGTAGAAGATGGTTTTCCTCTCATCCAGAGGTACGTCTGTTCATCCATCGATCTTCTAGGCCCAAATCCTGTTAAAGCACTGTACTGTGGTCCAACTCTTGACCTGCGCTGCGAGACATCACGACTTTCTGTACACGCTTATACACTGAAGCAGCCCATCAGAAGAATCCTACAGGACAGGAGTAAAGAGTATTTTAAACAATTCATGCAATGCCATTAACACGACTAAAGGCATTAAAACATTTAAAGAAACAAAAGAGAACTTTACAATGGCCTTATTTTCCAAATGCGTGAATCAGTGTAAAAACGTCTCATTCGTTTGGCAAAGTTCTCGATCCATTCTCCTGAGCAAAGCAAGCATTAATACACTAAATCAGCAAAACCAACTTATCAGACTAGAAAGAAGGCTGAAAGTCGATTCAGGTCAAGATACCCGTGCGCGCGCACGCACTCACATACTGCTCGTGCGAGAGACCTCTGTAACCATGCAGCATATAGAGGAACATTAAAATTAATTCCAAAAACCCCTTTAAACTAAGACTTACAATTAGTCTAAAAATAACAGAAAAGCCTACCTAGAAAAAAGACCTTTCTGGAAATTGGTTGCCGGACTGATAACTCACAGCGATGTTTAAGACCAAAATGTACATACATTAAAAATATACATTACACAAAGTATAGCAGTGACTGAAACAAAAGTAGAATACAATCCTCTTAATATATCAAAATATATTTTTGATGAAGTCCCGTAATTACCCTGACGCGCATCGTGATTGTGGGGATTTTACGGTAAATTAGAGTAAAAAATAACTATTTAGCAAGCTTCCTGTATTTTGCAAAAGCATCGAGGTATTTACCATTCATTAACATACACGTGTGTGTGTGTGTGTGTGAGAGAGAAAACAATTGCTTATACTGCTTATATCCTCGGGACTATCTGTTTTATATAAGTAACGGTTAATCGCAGTATTTATTGAAATATAATGAAATAAAAATGAATATAAGCGATCAACAGCCGGGAAAACAATAGCTATATCAATAATCCCAACTGCTTTAAGTAAGATAAGTGTGTGTATGCGTGTATGAAATAAATGATAATTTTAATATATGCGATTAAAACCAAAGTACTGTATAAAAATATATTTTTAAAAAGGTCTGATAAATTTTATAAAATCAATTTTGTCACCGTGCCAGAGTCAAAATGTGTAATTATATATATATATATATATATTTAAGTCAGTTATTTTAACCATGTTATTTTACCGCTTCGCAGGAAACCCTTTTTCTCACCCACAACCCCCCAAAAAATGTGAACGATAAGTTACATAAATGTAGAAACACCAATAAAGGCCCACAAGGCCAAGATGAAAGGAAATACAAATACAAAAAAGTAAAACCAGGGCTAAATATACAGTATAATATATATATAAGCAGGCGATCGTGAATTACAAACAAAAAACGTTTATTATACATACGATATCAATACATCGCGCATTATTTAAAAAGTGCAACGCAAACTCCTCAAACTATTCGGGCAGTGTATTGAACCGGGGTTAGAACCAAATTTTAAAGATAAAAAAAAAAGACCCACGATCATATAATTTATTGTAAACGTTGGTAGAAAAACGTGAATGTGTACAGACGTTCATCTGTGAGACAAAACAACACAGCAGACATTCGACCACGGCACCAGTGTTTTAAAAGCGATCTTATAAACAAGAGGCTTTAACATTGTGACGTTCGTTAAAACCAGTGGATTATAGCGCGTTAAATTCTACAGGTTCAAGTAAGGCGGACGCGTCGTTATGGCAACGATTAATTTAAATCTAGATTTCTTCCTATAAGTCCGGCCTGATCCGAGCAGAAAATGCGTTCTTATTGTTGTCAAGAGAACTCACACACCGACCTACACGAAGTCAACATTTTTAGGAACTCAACTCTTAACATTTTAAGGTGTAATTTACAGTATAGAGGGGGCGGCGTTAATCCACCGTAAACCAGTTCGTCACAAACACACATCTCCGATGAGGTCGGAAACCACGAGGCCACGCAGGCCATAAAGTGCGTGATTTTTCTTGCGTGAACCTTGTCAAAATTTCCTTTGACCCGAAAAGTAAACAAAACAACATATAATGCAAAAAAAAGTCCAGTCTGTCGGCCATGTTCAAATAAAATCACATTACCGGTCAACACTTTTTATTTTTGCGAACACATTTCAACATAAAAAACACAAAATGACGACTGAAATTCAAATCAATTTACCTGTGATGGTTAGACAGAGTTTGCACTGACAGCGAGTGGTGAGCTTTGCTTCAGCAGCACGATCAATACTGGAGACTTGGGCTAGAGTCTTAACTCCAATATTTACGTGCTGCTATAGCACAGCCACCAGATTGATCATATAAACAAACAAAAAAAGTACCGTTTACAACATAAATTCAACTTTGACTCAAAACAAAATAGTGTACAGAAAGTTGATGTCTGCGTAGTAATGGTCTGGTTTTGCTGCTGCAGCACAGTATGGCCTGCATCTCTGTGTAACTCACAAACCATTCCGTGCTGCTACAGCATCACCAGAAGTACAGCCTGTGCTGCTCCATGTCTAAAAAAAAAAAACCAAACAAAAAAAACAAAACATAACAAAAAAAAAACAACAACAACAAAAAAAATATTCTTTTCAACGTTGTGTTGTAAATCAATGCATCCTTCAGCAGCAGTTGTACTGTTTTCCTTAAGGGGACAGATGATCTTGAACATCGTTGGTCTGCTCTGCAACCAGTTTGTCTCTATAAAAAAAAAGAAAAAAAAAAGAAAAAAATCAACTTTAATTTTCATTGTTAATAGTTAATGAACTGACATCACTACATATTCAATATTTATTACTGTATCTGAGACAATTCAGCCAAAGTGTGAGATTGGACATGGACATGCGATCAGATCAGTGTCCATCTGTATTCAGCTGATAGTCTTTCACTTTCTTCTATGACCACAAAACCATTTCTTTATGGATTGTGGTGACTGCATGGAAAAAACCGTGACACATTAGTGGACATTACCACAGAGCTGCACTGGAAAAGCACCGTCTACATACAGTCACGGGCTATGTGAAGAGGGTGTTCTCATGACCTGCTACTGAAAATACAAATCAAAATTTAACATTTGTATTGTATGAGTTTGCAAAAAACAACACCCCCACTGTGATCTGTATGACAGACTTAGACCAAAGATAGAATTCCACCATAATATGGCATTATGGTATGTTTCAATTGTTCTCCAAATGAAAACGTGTTTGTGGCAGAAAGATTGTCAATTAAACTCTGATGTGTTGGAGGTAAAAACTAACCTTACTATCAACCACTAAATACATTTTCTGTTGAAAAAAATATATATAAAAAAATTTGAAAAAATATCCAAAAAACGTTCCCCTAACACGTGAAGCTGTGTGACCCCTAAATACTAAACATTTACATAACGCAACCCAAAACAAAACTACCATGAGAATGGGCCCTGATTGTTTTGCCACTAGAGGTCTCAATGGACCTGTAATCATGACCTTAATCTGAAATGGAGCAGGCAACGACAAACATACAGCATTAGGATCAAGACAATCAACCATTAATAAGATTCAATGAAGCCTAGAAGGACTGAGACATATCTTTTACTTTATGTGCATAAAGAAATGTAACAGGTATGAAGTTACACCCTTTTACCATCACATTTGTAATTTAAGGAAGCTACAAATTTGGATCTTCAGCACCAACCAAAATATGTATGTGTGTGTACTTTTCAGAGTTAAAAAAAACAGTAAAAAGGGTCGTATGAATATAGCTCATATCTTGTTCCTTTCAACATTTTTTGTCCCTTTAACACTTAATGGTAATTACCAAACCTTCACTTGGTTAACTAATTTACCGTAACTACGTTAACAATTATATTTAGTATGAAAAGAAAAACCTATGCAGGGCACGATATACTTATTTGACATTTTATAGCTAGTCATTTAGTGGGACTATTAAAAATAGGGTTTCCCCTGAATGTTATTACTCTAATATTTGTGATAAACTGCAATTGAGCTCACAGATGCAGGTAATTTATGGTGACACAAGTGGAGAAAAGTTAAATAAAAATGTATGTGCTTTAAAATAAATAAATAAATACAAACACAACTGGAGCTCAATCGCTGCTTTAAATCCAAACATTGGTCAGAATGTGGTAGGTTCTCTAGTGCATGATATCTGCTCTGTCTCTTATAACCTGGTGTAACAAAGAATAGAGGCAGAAAGTAAAAATACTGATAAAACAATGAGAAAAAAAAATACACACACATACACAAAAAATATATAAAAATTTAAGAACATGGTGGCACATTCTGGGTTAAGCCTGTTGGAAGATTTTTGTGCATATGGTATTTACATTAAAAGATCTATGTTTTACAAATTACACTTAAATTGAGAAGAACATTATAAAACTATATTATTATTTTTAGAGGCTGTATAATAACTGTCCTGTATTTATGAGCCACAAAGAAAAGCATGAAACAGATGAACATAGGTTTTCAAAGATAAAATATTTAACCTTTCATTTACTTGTCTTGTGTCATTTCTGCATTCTTCCCTGGGCCTATTTACTCATTTTGAGGCATTGCCAGATGAATCTACCCACAACAAACAACAAACAAGTCATTTTACTTTTCATCATACATACAAATAGAAAAACCAAACAAACAGCAACTAAGGTAAGTTGTGTATCATATATTATTCACATGTAAATGCCATTTCAAGTCCAAGTAGAATTGTTCACATCAAGGACGCTAACCTCTCCCTTATTTTTCCTCACTTTCCTTTAGGGCAGCACATGCCTGGACATGTCACCTTCACTGCTGAGCCTTTTTAACCCCTTGCTGCAACATTTGCTCCCTAAACAATGGCCTCAAAGAGTCACCTGACCCCAGGGGTGAAGGGTCAAGTAACCTCCTACACCCTGATGGGTCCAAGGACCAGGACATGACAGGCCGTCAGTAACCAAGGATCAAGTGGTCTGGCCTGGCCGATTTGGCCTGTGTCCCCAGGTCTTCTGCCTGCATGAGCACAAACTAAAGAAGATGGCCAATGACAACCAAGGCTGTGGAAAGGGAGTAGCTTTGAATGGCAATTACGTCTATCCTCAAACACACATCTATGCAAATACAAGTGCGTCACTGAGTATATAATGCTCTCCATCTTAAACTGACCAAGTATAGAATGGTTACTGGAAGACAAAGAACAAAGCCACAAAGACCAACAGAAAATATTTTGAAAGAAAAGCCCAACTAACATCTGTTTTAAAATCTGCAATGTAGCAAACATTTTCGCACACGATTAATTAACAGTTCATCACTTGTCACATTTAAGCCCAGTTATTACTCCAGCCAAATCATAGTTGTGTTTGGCAAGACACAACACGCAGTAAAAATATACTACATTCACAACTCAAGAGGGTGTGACAATTTTTTTAATCACATACTCAACAGCATGTGATCTCGGCACTACTACACACTAATACAAAACCAGTTCTTCCATATTAACAAAGCAGTTATTCGCGATTATCTGACAGTCTGAGAAATAAGAAAAGAAAAGAAAAGAAAAACAACAACAAAAAAAACACCCTAATAATTTGGAAGGGGGTTGCAAGAGTAATAATGATCCTGAAGGTAGTAAATGACCTGATGCTTCAATATATAAGGCAGTGTTGTATTTCAACATGCACACATACCACTAGTGTAATGGTTTGTGGTAATCCCAGAAAAGCTTTTTACGTTTGCACACCCTTCCAAACATGTCCTGCCGAGAAGGAAGACAGAGTGGGAATCCCGAGAAGCTGTGGCCACATTGCGTCAAACAAATTACAGAAGAACTCCAGAGAAATGTGGAATAAATGTGCCCGGGATGGACATGTGAAGAAATATACTCAGAAGACATTATTGGCAGATATGCGAGTGTGACTTCTGAGTCATTTTCACTCTCCACAGGTACACACAAAACTCTTGACTGACTGGCGGGTGTGTTATTGCAACTTTTTCTACTCGATGTACACAATAAATTCACCAATAAAATATATCTGTAACGCTGGGGGAGAAAAATAAAATCTGTTTCATACAAGTAAGTTTAAAGAAGTCTAAAGTTAACTGTAAGAGGAGACAGTGGTAGAAATATGTGGACTCAAAACTTCAACAGTATTTGGTAAATAATTAAGTACGTATTTTTGAAATAAGCACTGGTAGATAAGAACAGACAATACTGATGTTTATGCAAATATAAAAAAATCATTCTCTGTGAATTAAATACAACTAGTATATTCAAAAACAATCCATTCTGACAACAGACTGTTTTAGAACAAGTGTAAAAGTCACACAGATCCATAGAAACATTTTATACAATTTGTATTGGGCCATTTCTTTTAGAAAATACAATTCATAACAACATAAGCCATATTTACATTTTATATAGACGTATTTAAGAATATAAAATCAAATCACTCTTGACCAAGGTGAAAACAAAAGAAAAATAAAATGAAATATTTTAAATAGAATATTGATCTAGTTCTGCACCTAAATAAACGACTACATCCACAGTCTAATGGGGAGGAGAAAAAGGAAAGATTTGAGGATGACTTTTTTTGATAGGTACAGTATTAGGGTATGTTAATTTTATGGGATAAAAAGCTTGTCGAGTATTTATAAAATTATAAATAATTCTCTAATTAGCCCTTAATTGATTTATCCCTTCCTAATAGTAAAGACATGTTTCTGATTCTATTCAGTCACAATGTGGAGGAGATCACAAGGTTCATCAAAGACCAACAACACACGGTGACAGTTTCTGTCACACCACTCTCAACACACCACTGTGTCTACAAAGTGTCTGATGAAACATCTAAAGCAAACACACAGCTGTCGTCCTGGGCCAGCTCCTTTTATATAAACAACACATTCAAGCTTATAATATTTAACTGCGAATATGACCATTTTCTTCTTACTGTATTTGTAAAATATATAGCTTCCTCCTATGACCAGAAACAGCAATAAACAGGATGCAGACAAAGAACACTGTGATGCAACTTCAGAAGTGCAACAACATGAGGTCCTGATTTACACTTGACCAATGGCAATGATCTATTGAAAAAAGGCAGCAACAGTAGAAGCAGCAACAACCAGCACAACAAATTACCCACAACCTTTAACATGGCCACCGCATTTTAATCACCATGAATCATCATTCGTGGAGTCATCAGTCAGTACGAAATTAATATTCCAATGTTAAGTGTGTGTTATGAGAACGAGTGGGCAAAAGAGGAAGCTGAGTCTGTGTGTGAGAAATAAGAGAACACACCCATACACCAATTATAAAAAGCTACCAAAATTAACTACACTCTATGATCACGTCTACCTAGGTTCACTTCACACAGACACTACTTTAATTTACTCTATAAAAAACAAGAACACACACACACACACACACTATAGGAACAATACAAGAGTAAAGTTCTACCTAGCTTTGAATTGAAATACTGACATTACAGAAGAGTAGTTAGAAAAAATTAAATTATTTGTAAAAACAAAAAAACAACTTAGTATTCTGTATCTATATTTCCTTAGTTGACACACCATGACAAATATGGATTAAAAAATGAATTAAATATATTAAAACTTTTCTGACTTATGTGTATCAAAATGATTACTTAATACTTCAAACACTAATCACATTCCTGGTTTGAGAATTTCCTATTCACAAAGGCAATGAAAAAACATGCATACACACACACACACACACACAGACAAACAAACAAAGAAAACAATAATTATATCTGTCAGTCCCGAATAATAATATAAGTGTTGTGATACATTTTATCAAATTATTTTTACAATACCAACTTTTAAATACTCACTCAATTAGACATTGTTGTACACATGGTGTGTTTTCAACTCACACACTGTCTGTCTTAAGCAGTGTGTAAGGTGTGAGCAGTTTGATTAAAAAAAAAAAGACAAAAATAGTGAACAAAAACTCAATCAAAATAATTTCAGGCTTGTTTCACTTTTATGAAACAATAGTTTGCAGGGTAATTCTAATGGACCATACCAACACTCAGGTCAATAACAGCTAATCCAAAAGAGGTGTGTGTGTGTGTGAGAGAGAAAGAGAGAGAGAGAGAGCGCACGTGTGTGAGTTTGTAGTCAGAGAAGGAATACTTTTACCATATCAAATCTCACGATGGTAGTTTTTTATATTACTAACTAGATGTGTAATTATTAGGCAAGACAAAGACAATTGACTTTCTGCCAAAACACACCAAGTAACTGGTTCACATACAACATTCTCTGTAACTCCACAAACTAAACTCACACAAAAACAGTTTCTGGAATTTTGATAATTTACCAAACTTCTTTTTTTTTTTTTTTTTACAAGCTTCTACCTGACCACAGATCGTAACAGAGGTTATCCAGCAAAATACCACCGACTTCTCTTCAGTTAAATGTCAATGCTAAAATTGTTACGAGTCTCAATAAATTTGACCAAACAGGTGCAATGCTCTGATTCTGTGACGCAATGCACAAATACTATACTAAAGAAACCCTAACCAATGCAAAATATATGTTGTACAAAGTATCAAAAGTCCTAGCACTATTTCATAGTACAATGCTGCCTAAACTGTGCAATTTCTTAACACACCAGAAACAAACTAATTCTAATCACACTGAAAATAACACCTCAACTTAAAATTCACACAAAAAATAAAAATAAAAATCATCAGCTAGAAAATTGACTGATACCGTTTTAAAACATATCACAGGTTCTTTTCAATGGTGATTGAGCACAACAGGGTAAAAATAAGTCACAGCAAATTTGAATACTACAAAGTTTGTGCTGAGTGGTGCAGAAAGAAGGACTAAGAGAAGAACGGGTCGGGTGGGGGGTTGTCTGTAGCCCTGTTTCGACACATGTGAGCAAGTACAAGAAGGAAAGCTGTTTTTTTTTAAACCAGGAAATGGGGGTGGGAGCCCATTTTGCCGGAGGGGTCTAAGAAGAACAGAATGATGAGTCACAAAATGCCATGCTATAACAGACTGAAACAGCACAACAGTGGCCAACCTGATAAAATCTTTAAAAAGGGGGCAAATAGCAGGGGCAAATCTGTAGCATCTAACACTGAACCAACAAAAAATGCAATCTATGCCTTGGTGATGAGCAAAATAACTCTCTATCTCCTGTAGGAGTATAATAGGTTCACATTACATAAGCAAGTCACCAAGTGAGTAAAATAAATTACAAAAATTAGTAAGACTGAATATTAAATCCACATTAACTACAACACAAAGCTTTTTGAGGTCAGACAAAACAACACATCTCTGGAATTGTCTTATATTTGCTGCTGCAGACAGACTTTGCCTTTAGCTATTAAAAATAAATATGAGAAAAGTTTTCTACTTAAAAAATAAGGCATTTTGCCACTTACTTTATATTTCTAAATTTTTTTTACAAGTCTAAAATTGCATTTGCAAAATACACTTAATTTATAACTTCAGACAACTAAAAAAAACCCCCCACATGTACTGTATACTGCACATATTTACAACAGAGTTGTATTGTTAATGATATATAGTATTCTTGAAATAAACAAACAAAAAAAAAAAACAGTGATTGAATATATTAAATTAATTCGGTAGTGTATGTGTGTGATGTTTTACACATATGGTGTAAGTGACAGCAAATTTAACACACCAATAATATTAAACACAGGATGTGTCATACATTAAATATTAATGGTTTTAAAGCTAGATCAGATAGATTTAAAGATCTCTTGGACAGTACACAATCGATATTTCTGACCTGTTTCCCCATGTTAAGATGTAGTTAAAGGTGAATTGTCTTCTATTAAGGGTTAATTATGTATTTCCACTAAAATGCACTATTTTGTTTATTTGTGGTGTATGGAAAACTATTCTAAAATCACCACCTGTCTTTGCTTTATGGCTTCAGAAATGCCTCTGACTACACACACACACAATCAGTCAGATTAGACTTTTAAACCAAAAATGCATATTCTAAAGAAAATTAAATCAGAATAAGATTAATAAGATAATTGTAAAAGATTTTTGATCCTTGAATTTGACAATATAGACATTTTTGGTTAATTAAAAGCACCACAGTGAAAAAAACAGCATGGGATTATGTAACACATTAAAACCGACCTTTTCTTCTGAGAAGGAAGTACTGTAAAAGGGGGCGGGTTTGGGTGCACAATTATACAGAGACTGACTTTTTTTTCTTTTCAAATGCTGTGTCAGTTCAGTAGTGCACTTCATGAGAGAGCAAAAAAGGAGCAAACCTCGTCTTGTTAAAAATAATTGGATTATTTGTACCCTTGTTAAATTAATTCAATTAAAGAAAGAGAGTCTATTCCATGTGACTGTACATATAGTTTTCGAGGGTCTAGGGCACAATGAAAAAGTGTAAGGACTCTAAGGCTCCTACTTTAATAATACTTAATATTTACAGGCTATTTTGTTTAGAAGTGGTTTAAAAAATGCATAGAAAATTATGAAAGATGATGATAAGTGTGTCTAAAGTTACTTAAATGTTTTTGACAACCTGCTCAATGTATTCATCATACTATCAGGGAAGCCAAAAACTGAAAACATACACACGAGTGCTGAATCCAAGACATTTTGTTTCCTCCAACTAGACTCAAACCTATTTTATGATTATACAAAGAATTCAGTAAGTTATTTTGTAGATAACTGAAACATCAATGCATCCTTCTTTGTTAGTTTTTTTTAAAAATGTATTTATTCTTGTCTTTATGAAAACACATCCTCAATATGTCCACAAGGTAAATATTTTTTGACTTAGGGAGAGACTAGTTCATCACTACAATAGTTAACAAAAAATACTGATTGTCAACTAATCAGTCTAAGCCAGATTTTGTATCATTTTTATTTTAAGATTTTATAAAATGATCAGGTATTATAAGGAATTTAGTTTGTTAAATGTGAATATTTTTTTCTTTATTTGATCTTCTATACATTTAATAATAAAGCAAACCACTCTGCTCTCTGGACAAAATCAAAAACATAAGAGAATGAG